GGCTGGCGGCGGGGGGAACCTGCTGCAGGGCTGACCAGGGGTGGGGAGAGCCGGAGGGGGAAGAACCGGCTGGCAGGGAGCAGGGCTGGCCCAGGCGCACGCAGATCCTCGGGTGCTGCCCATCCCACACACAATCCTGGCGAGGTGCATGGGGGAGTCCAGCCCTGGGGGGGTTCAATCCCACTCCTCTCTACTGCGTAGCTGTGTACTGCCTGGCTGGGAGACATGCTCACGCAGTGTGGGTGTGTCTACCACCCAGGCAGTTCGCAACTACATACTGATCCCAATGAGAATAATAAAACGTAATTAGAAAATATCGGACATTTCTATGTCCGGTATTGTCTCAATTTGTTTCCCGGACAGAAAGCTCAAATACCAGACAGTCCAGTTCAAAACCGGACACCTGGCAACCCTAACTAGTGCACACACATCCATAGGCCTCTGGGCCCTCTCTTTCAGTCTCCAAATACACAACCCCCAACAGATCACACAGTGAAGTTTAACTGAACCCCAGAGAAGGGCTTACAGCAGACAGACAAACCAGTGCCCTAGATGGGGTGTCTGCACTGCATCCTAAGTCACCTGCCAGCCTGGGCCTGGGCATGACGCGGGGACACAGGCTGCCTTGCACCTGCCCTGTCAATCATCGCCGTCCCCCCACACGGGAGTCAGTGACTGTGTCTGTGGCCCAGCGATAGTCACTGGGACCCCACATGCTCAGAGATGGGCTGTGGGGGCTAGTGTCAGTCAGACCCTCCCCCCACAGTGAGTGCCCTGGGCAGGGCCTGGGAGGGGGCAGGAGGTGGCTCTGGGAAGAGCATCCCCCAGGAAACCTCTGTCCCAGGGGCAGGAGTAAGACAGGCCAGGAGGAGACGCTGTGACTGGGGCAGCCCCAAGGGGGTGGGACGTGCAGAAACAGCCAAAGGGGGGCTAAGAACTCACCTGCTGAAACTGTAACAACAAAAGCAGAGGACACAATTGCGAGAACGACTCCGAGGGCGACTGCACATTTCCAGTAGTAGCAATGATGCTCTGAAACAGAAGGACCCATCAGGCCGGGCTGAGAGGCCGCATCTCGCTGACAGCACCAGGCTGGGGCTGCCCTAGAACACGCCCCGTTCTGCCCCTCGCGCCTCCTGCCAGACGCTCTGGGAGACGTGCCCGGGGGCTCAGGCAGGCTGGGGTTGGCAGAACAGCCCCTCCTCCCTCAGCCCAACGCCCCCCCCCAGGCACTGCCAGCCAGGCCGGCACCGGTGAGCTCAGGGCACAGAGATATGGGCCTGCATGTTCCGAGGGCAGGAGCCCCCCCACCCAGCGCTCATCCCCACACACAGGGTTTTACCCGGGCAACATGCAGCCAAAGGGGGAGAAGGAACCCGGCTGAGAGGGACCAGGTCTGTCACAGAGGGTCTGACCCACCAGCCCCTGCCCACATGCCCAGCGCTGTGTACGCCAGCCAGCCACTGGGAGCCAGGGATCGGGGCCCTGAGAGCCCTGAGGGGACCCAGCCCCTCCTGCCCACAGACTGATGGGGAGGGGGCTGGATGATTGCTACTGGCAGTGAGAGCCTGTCCCCAGCTCCCCCGTCAGTCTGTGTCTCTCTCCAGCCTGTTCCCCAGACCCCCGATTACCTGGATCTTCTTTGTGCTTCCTGGTACAATCTCCGCGAAGTGGTTTCAATGACGTGCTACCCTCATAGTAACTTGTGGCTTGCCCCATCATCTCTCTCGCTCAGCGATGCCCAGGCTGCAGACACTGCTGCCCGCACTGGGGAGGGCTCGGGTCTTTTCCACTAGACTGGTCCCAGCCAAGGCCGAGGGAGGCGTCTGTGAGGTCCTGGCCCCGGCTCCCCTCTCTGCTCCGAAAGCTGAGACAGGCAGAGCAAGTCAGGTCAGGGGGAGGAGGTGGGACGTGTCATTTTTATCCTTTGCCCAGCAGCCCAGTCCCCAAGATGATTAAACCCCCTGAACCCTCGTTTCATCCCCCTCCACCTCCAAGGGCTGCAGAAAGGGACTCTGTACCGGGGTGCCAACGTGAGGGAGCTGGGGAGGAGAAGCTCAAAGCTCTTCCCTGGTTGGCAGCAGAAACAAGCCCAGATCAAAGCGAGGGAGGGAACCGAGGGGCCTTGTTCCTCCTAAGACAGAGCACATGTGGCAATACACGTGGCAGCTGGGGACAGGGGGTTGTCTGTATGCAAATATGAAAATGCTCAAGGGATGGGGGCAGGATTTGTCAGTGCCCAGGCATGAATGTGGGGGCTAGGGTCTTCCCTGGTTGGCAGCAGAAACAAGCCCAGATCAAAGCGAGGGAGGGAACCGAGGGGCCTTGTTCCTCCTAAGACAGAGCACATGTGGCAATACACGTGGCAGCTGGGGACAGGGGGTTGTCTGTATGCAAATATGAAAATGCTCAAGGGATGGGGGCAGGATTTGTCAGTGCCCAGGCATGAATGTGGGGGCTAGGGATTGGGGAGGAGGGGAGGTTTGCCAGGCATCCAATTTTGAACCAGACAGTCTGATATTTGAGCTTTCTGTCCAGGAAGCAAACGGAGAAAATACCGGACATAGAAATACCTGGTATTTTCTAATTAAGTAAGTGGTGCTGGCAGGGGTGGAGTCTGCCAAACTGTGTGTGTGGGGGGAGGCACCACTAGGACCCAGAGTGTAGACAATTGTGTCTGCTGCTGGTGCAGATGTATTCTCTCTGCTCTAACTGCACAGAGATGCTGGAGTGCTGTGCTGGAGGAAGGAGGGCACAACAGACATAACAGCTAGGTAGGAGAAAAGAGCTATTCCAGAAAAGAGCCCTGATCGCCATTTTCGCGATCGGGGCTTTTTTCCGGAAAAGATTTCAGGTGGGAGGAGGGAGCTCCCTTCTTCCCCAAAGTAGGTACCCCCGGCCACACCAGCGGGAGGCAGACACCTAGCTGGGGGAAGGCTGGGATTGGATCCCTGTCTGAAATCCCAGCCCCTGGAGGAGGAGGAGGAGTCCCTGGGATTGTTGATAAACATCCCCTATTGTGTGTGTATATATATCTATATATTTGGTCCACAAATGTTTATTAAGCGTGTCCGGTAGTTTTGTTGAAACCATCTGGCAACTCTGTTTGGACCAGGCCCCTGGCACGTGCAGCCCTGCTGCTGATGCAGATGTGTTGTGTCTGCTCTAACTGCACAGAGATGCTGGAGTGCTGTGCTGGAGGAAGGAGGGCACAACAGACATAACAGCTAGGTAGGAGAAAAGAGGCCACAGGGCATCCTTTGAGCTCCACACCTCAGATGCCAAAATGTTATGGGCGGTCCTGGCACTGACTGCCCCACAGCAGGGTGGGAGGAGGGGGCTCCCTTCTTCCGCGAAGTAGGGCTTGTGCTCCTTACCAGAGGTAGGGTTTCAAGGTGTCCAGTTTTGAACCGGACAGTCTAGTATTTGAGCTCTCTGTTCAGGAAACAAAATTGAGAAAATATAAATGAGAAAATATAAATGTCTGGTATTTTCTAAATAAGATGTAATGTATATTGCGAATGTTTATTAAGCGTGTCCGGTAGTTTTGTTGAAACCATCTCAGACATAACAGCTAGGTAGGAGAAAAGAGGCCACAGGGCATCCTTTGAGCTCCACACCTCAGATGCCAAAATGTTATGGGCGGTCCTGGCACTGACTGCCCCACAGCAAGGTGGGAGGAGGGGGCTCCCTTCTTCCGCGAAGTAGGGCCCCCCTGGCCACACCAGCGGGAGGCAGACACCTAGCTGGGGGAAGGCTGGGATTGGATCCCTGTCTGAAATCCCAGCCCCTGGAGGAGGAGGAGGAGTCCCTGGGATTGTTGATAAACATCCCCTATTGTGTGTGTATATATATCTATATATTTGGTCCACAAATGTTTATTAAGCGTGTCCGGTAGTTTTGTTGAAACCATCTGGTGCCTCGCCATGAAAATTCCCCGGAATCTTGGGGCGGGGGGAAGTCCTGCAGTTTGCTACACAACGTTCCTCATTGTGACGTAGGCACCTCCCTATTGTCTCCCCAGCCACCCGCACGCTCTCCGCGGGGCCCGCCGCCTCCCTGGCCGGCCGGGCAGTTACCTGAGCGTCCCCCGGGGCGCGGGTCCCCCTGGATCGCGGGGTGCGAGGCCGGACACCGCCCAGCGTTGGATTTTGGGGCCTTCTTTAGTTTCCGTTCTGACTTGCGGGCGCCCCGCCCCTATCGGTCGGTTAAGTTTCGCAGCCACTTTGCTGTTTGCAGCTGCCGCCCGAGAGAGAATTGGAGGAAGCCGCCCGGCAGCCCCAGCGGGTGCTGCTGTTGGGGAAACGTGCCTGAGAACCCCCACCCCCAGGGCGCTAGCTCTGGCCGGGGGAGAAACTCCCCCACCCACCCCGCGCGGAGGGAGCGAGAGATCCGTCTAAAAACAGTCACTCGGAGACGGGACTTTGTCTCAGCCCTGAGTAACTTGGTGGGAGCGGGGCAGGGCTGTGGGGTAGCCCGGACCTCACACACTGGCGCTGGATTTATGGAAATTCAGCTCCGGTCCCCAGTCTCGTCCCTCCCCTCTCAAGCGCCAGCAGCCCCCTCCTTCCCTGCACCCCAGGCACAGCTTCTGGAGCACTGCCAGGTTGTCTTTTCCACCTGGACGGGGTCCCACTCCTTGGTCAGCAGATCCAGCTAGTTCAGGGCCTCCCCGAAATCCCAAGTGTCTCAGCCCCATGGGCCAGGCAGGCCGACTGCTGCAGCGCATGAAGCCCTGGTCGGAGTCCTTGATCCACACTGCCAGGGGGAAGGCAAAAGGCCTGGCCCCATCCTGCTGACAGTCTGCGCCTGGGCACATTATTTCATGATTCTAGCTGAGGGATTTCCACTTCAGATGGCTGAATTCAGGGCCTTGCCTCCTGGTGGGGTTCAGAAAAGTTGCCGTGTACCCAACTCCATCTGCTGACACAGGCTGACTCTTGGCTTGGCTGTCAGTGCCCTGCTGGGGTCCCAGCTTTGCCTGGGAGTTCCAGGACCTTCCTGGGATGGAGGAGACCCAACCCTCCCCCGCTCTGCATTGCTGCTTGGCCCAGTGGGTAGCAGGTTTAAAACTAATAAAAGAAAGTTCTTCTTCACACAAGGCATAGTCAACCTGTGGAACTCCTTGCCTGAGGAAACAAAAGACAGGACTATGCAGCACTTTAAAGACTAACAAGATGGTTCATTAGGTGGTGAGATTTCGTGGGCTAGACCAACTTCCTCAGATCACAAAAGCTCACCACCTAATAAACCATCTTGTTAGTCTTTAAAGTGCTACATAGTCCTGTTTTTTGTTTCAGCTAGACAAGACTAACATGGCTACATCTCTGTTACTTGCCGAGGAGGCTGTGAAGGTTAGGAGTATAACAGAGTTTAAAGAGAAGCTAGATAAATTCATGGAGGTTAGGTCCATAAAAGGCTATTAGCCAGGGGATCAAACAGTGTCCTTGGCCTCTGTTTGTCAGAGGCCAGAGCTGGAGGGCACGAGACAAATTGCTTGATCATTGTCTTCGGTCCACCCCCTCTGGGGCACCTGATGCTGGTCACTATTGGCAGACAGGATACTGGGCTAGATGGACCTTTGGTCTGACCCAGTTCAGCCATTCTTATGTTCTTATTGTATATAGATGTCTTGATATGCATATGCCTTATAATTAATGAAAGGGCCGAAAGAGACGGATCATGAGTTGTTTGCAGTGGCAAAGGGCCACAGCTTCTGGGTTGCCTAGGGAAGAAGCAGGAGGGGGAGGGTGTTGATGCCTAAAGTACAGGTCAGCCCTCCCCGGGCCCCCCGCACTCAGCAGCAGCCATGGTGGGGCAGGAGTGGGGAGAGGAAGCGGAGTGAGGCAGCCTCAGCTTGCTCCACTTCCCTGGCTCCTGTTCGCATCACTCAGGGAAGTTGGGAATGAGGCAAAGCCGGGGAAGAGAGGGGGTGGTGGGTTGTCCTAGTCCTCCTCTGGCGCAGAGAGGAGTCACTTGGGGGAAGACCACATGGCTGGTGCCCCCACTGTGTCCCTCCTTGGCAGTTGCCCCAGGCGGTGGTGTAGCCCTGTAGGTCATAGGACAGGAGAGAGCCGAGGCAGGTGAGGTCACAGCTTTTATTGACCGAACAATACAGGCGGTAACACCCCGTCACCTGCGGGCAGGCACGTCCCACACAGCGTTCCCTCTGCTTCTGGTCCTTCTGGCCTCATCCGGGCTGCAAACGGCCCGAGACCGAGCTTGGGTGCTTCCACCCTGAACTCGTCTGCACACTGGACACCCTGGGCCCGACCCACACACTGCCTGGGCTGGTCAGGGCCCTTACACACCCCCCACGTACCAGGCACAGTATTCCCCCTTGCTGCCGCCCCCTTTACTTTGGTTCAATCCCTCTCCTTCCCTTCCACTCTGGTGTTGGGATGTGGGATTCACCTGGGCTCAAATTCAGTGCCTACTGGCCCATTGCCAGGACCGGTCTGGGTCCTTCCTGAGGCCGGTGCGGTGATCAGGGAAACCCTGGGGGTGCAGCAGAAAAGCTAGAGGTGGGGAAATAGAGAAAGCCAAGGGACAGCAGGTACAAGCCCTTGCTCTCTACCCTGCCCCACAGCTCTGTGCCCCCTCACCCAGCCAGATCAGGGTCTGTGGAACCCAACCCGGGCGGGGGGAGATCACACATGATGGCACAGCAGTAGCAGAGGAGCACAACTGGGATCAGAGTTCAATTCTTGGACGTGTCATTGTCCTGCTGGGTAACCCTAAGCATGCCCCTTCCTTGTGCCTCAATTTACTTTCCCACACTTAAGCCTTGTCTAGACTCAAGTTTCCCTCGGCATGCCCCTTCCTTGTGCCTCGATTTACCTTCCCACGCTTAAGCCTTGTCTAGACTCAAGTTTCCCTACTAGTCTTCACCGTGCCTCATGAGCACCAAAAGTATTCAGCCCTTTCTACACTACAGGCTTTAAGTCCAACAGCTGTTCTGCCCCTATGTTTAGGCAACTTGGAATTTAAGTTTTTGGGGGCAGGGACTCTCTAGGCAAAGCTGTGAGGAGAGGTGAAGGGGATATATGTAGCTGGTAGCATTAACCAATAAGCTTCCACTTATCGGTTAATTGTTTAACCGGCTACATCAGTACGTCCTTAAATTCTGCCCATTAAGCCAGGTTTATGACTAAAGAGTCCCATGTTACAATAAGAAGTAGGAGATAGCCAGGGGAGGGAGAGTTGGAGGTCGTGTCCTGTTTAAAGTTGTTCGGAGCTTGGACTGAAGATAGGGGAACAGAAAACAGGTGAATGGCAGCAACAAAGGGGGGCGTGAAGCAGAGAACAGAGGGGTGGAACTTGCCTGCTGGAGTAATGAAGCTGATGCATAAGTTTGCAAATTCAGTTCCACATGGAGCTGCATTTCCTGGACTGGGGAGTATGTTGCTAACCTAAAACAGAAAGCCAGAAATAGTTTTGGAGTTGCTCTAAAAGAAGCAGCCTTGTGGTAGAGGGACTAAAAACAGGGTGAGACTCCAGTGGGTAAGGTAACATTTATAGCAGTGTTTCTTAAACTTTTTAAGATGGAGAAACACGAATGATTTTTTATTGAGCCAAAAAAAAAGCTGCCTGCCCCTTTAAGGGTGGCCATTTTAAACTCTGTTTTCTGAGTGTGCTGCAAAACACAGTTTAAGAAGCACTGATTTACAGTCATCCACATGAGAACACTCAGGAAAGTTAGGGGAGGAATTAACTAAGACTGGAACATTAATGTACATAAGCTGGCTGCATTAAGTCCTGGGGTGGATGTTCCAATACTGAAGTAAAGGGACCTTAAATTATAATCTAAATCCGCCTTAAGGGTAACTTGTGAATTACTGTGACAGTGCTATAAAACAACAAAATATCTGCATACACCGATGCAGGGCTCTGCCTGCGGACACATTTCCACATGCCGGGATCACACTCACATTTCAAAAATTATCCCTTAAAATAAACAGAAGAAGGTGGGGGGCGGTGGGGGAATGAAGTGACCAAGAAAGAACAAAGGACAGACAGAGACCAGAATTTTCAAAGGGGACATGATTAGGGTGGATTGAAAGAATCCAAAGCAACTGACATCACAGATTTTAATTACAATTTCAATAACAAAGCAAAGAGTTGATTTAAATGGCTTCGCATTTGTACTTTTTAATTATTTTCCTAAGGAAAAGTTGATTCTCATTGTTTAGTAACCATTAAAACATATACTGATTTGCAACTAAATATAATCTTTCTCTTGGCACTCCATTTGGTGCTTCTTTCTGGTTAAGCAGTAGGATATGCTGCTGTCTGTACACATTTTTAAGAATTTATATAGATTAATCTATACTTTTCTGAGTTTTATATTTCACCACATTCTAACTAAGAATTGCATTATTCATGTCTTACCAGATAAATTACAAGTAAAAAACAAAATTGTCAAACTCAATTTGGATGGGAATTAAAATTAAATTAAAAATTAACAAAACAGTGGTTTAGTAATTAAAACTAATTTAAGTGTAGTGAATGCATCAAAAAGATTATCAAAACATGGTTTGCATTTAAAACAGGAAGTATTCACTGTAGTTAATTGAACTGAATGGTCACAGTGTCTTTCAAAATTTTAGAACAAGTAGATCTCACCCTTTTATTCATAAAGTGGGAAAAGAAAACAAGCTTTCCTGTTTTTTCAGCTCCTAATAAGTTTCTTAAATCTGAAGGAGCTAGTCATTGAATATTTGAATAAACTGAAATGAGGAAACTATTCTGCAGGTTAAAGAGAAGAGACTACTGCTGGCAAAAGTGAGGTTAGCCGTTCCACAGTTGGACCAGGTGTTTTGCCAAGGGAATTCCACCACTTCTCTGGTTTGACTTTCTTTTAACACTTGACAGCAAACCTGTCCTGCTCATTTTCTGTATTAAGTTTAATTATTTGACTAGATTATAGATAGTTTAGGCCCTGACCTAGGCACTAAGATAGGTAGTTTAGGCCCTGACCTAGGCACTAAGATTTTCAATTATGATTTTTAATCAATTTAGTTTTAAATAAACCTGAATTTTATCTTAAATGAAAATAATCACATTTAAAAAAAATTTTTACCCACACTGGATTGGACCTCTGTTGTGTCCATAAAAACCCATAATGTGATCAGGTCCCTAAGGTGTGGAGGAAGTGGGTAGGTATTAGTGGCAGGGGGCCCTCATCTGAGTTACTTCACCTTGGTCTGTCCCCAGATTGCTCTAGTCCAGGCAGTGACACTGTGGTTACCTGGTTTCCCCCAGTATCTCTGCCTTGCATTACCACTAGGGTAGGTCCTGGCACAGCAGGCTGGTCCCATCTCTCTTCTTTCCCTGACAGACACAGCATGATACAGCTGTGGGCACTGGACTGTGATCAGCATCTCTCTGGCATGGTACAGGATTAGGGTGGGTTGATTTAAATCCAAGCAATTTCAACCACAGATTTTAATCAAGCCATCTTTGATCTGAAGAAGTGGGTTTTGCGGAGGGAAGCTCATGATCCCACCTACGTTTTGTTAGTCTTTAAGGTGCTACCGAGGGAAGCCCATGATCCCACCTACATGTTTTGTTAGTCTTTAAGGTGCTACTACACCATGGGCTCCCAAACTGGGGGGGCATGCCTCCCTGGGGCAGCATGAAGAAATTCCGGGGAGGGCACGAGGTGACCCAACCTCCCTCTTCCCCCGCCCCCGCCAATCCCTCCCCCTTAGTTGTGCTGTTCTTGATTTTTCAGCCCCTGTCAGTTCCTTTTGTTGAGCAAAAATAAAAAGTTTTGCTGCTGGGGGGGGGGGGGGAGAGGTTTGGCGGGGGGGGGGGGGGGGGAGAGGGGCTTGAGGGTTTCTCAAAAATCAAAAAGGGGGCATGATGCCAAAAAGTTTGGGAACCACGGTACTAGACTATTGGTTGTTTTTTAAGGTTTTCCTGTTACAAACTAACTTGGCTCCCCCTCTGCAGCTTTTGATTTAAATAGCTGATTTAAAGGGGGCAGTACCCATCCCAGGCAGTGTGAGGGATCCTAGCCAGGGTAGATAAAAATCAGTGATTACAAAATTTAAGAAAATCGGAGTTTTTAAAATTGATTGGATTTTTGATTTTTTTAAGTCAAATTTCTCTTTAAAACCAGGTACAACAAACACGTTTTAGTGATCAGATTTGCACCCCTGTTTAAGGGATCGGTGGGAAACCTGATTTAAATCAAAGATTTTTCTTGGGGATTTAAATCAAATTGCCTGGCTTTAAATCAACCCCCTGCCCTCATCCCAGCTCTGGCTCCTCTGCCCCTCGGCAGCTTCCCCCACTCAGCTGACTCAACTGACTGTCTGGGAGAAACGGTGGTTTCTGAGTTGTTGGGGGGAGGGGGGGTGTTTGGGGCTCCTGTTCTTTATTGCCCCGGTGGGGGGGGGGGGGAAAGCTACCTGGGGGGCTCAGTCAATTTTTTCCCCTCCTCCTCCCCCCCCGGAGTTTGCATGGCACGTGTGTGTGTGGGGCGGGGGTCAAGCCCCCAGCCGGTCTCCCCCTCCCTCCAGCCTCGCTGTAAGGGCCAGAGCCCAGCTGGTTCCCGGAGTTCCAGATCGCGAATTAACTCACCCGGGGCCCTGCAGTGGGGCAGGAGAAGCAGCCACCGCCTGCGTCAGGTGGATGGAGGGAGACAGTCCCGCGGCGTCTGCCCAGCCCCAATCGCCGCAGAGCAATGCCTGCGACAGAGCTCGGGGTGTCACCGGCCCCACCCTTTGCACCTCACGCCACCTCCAGGCCCTGCACTTGATACGGGAGCCAGGCCTCGGGAGACGCCCAGCCGCTGCTCCGACGGTTCCCATGCTCGGGTAGCTGCTTTGCTCCGGCTCCTCCGCAGCGGCTGGAGACCCGGCTGGAACTTGCCTGCAGGAGCAATGCGGGGAGCGGCGGAGCTGCATGTTCACTGCCCCGGGAGCTGTGGTGCCTGGATTGGGGCGTGTGCGGGTGCAGAGGAAACGAGGAGCCCCTGGGACCTTAGGCTACGTCTCTCCTCCCCTCATGCTGTGTCTGGGAAGGCACCAAGGCATCCCAATGCCCCCTCGCAGTAACGCCCCTCTGTCTGATGCAATGTACCGAAGCATTAGGGGAAACGTGATCCAGCGCAATGCTTATTTACACACACGCCCCTCCATTGCGTCTCACATATTGGGCACTTCAGCCAATCCCCTATCTAGCCACATAGCTACATAGTGTCATAACAATTGGGCTTGTTTGCAGCCGGGTTGAGGAGGAGGAACAGGGTTTTTTGGAGCCTGTGGGGCAACGCAGCCTGCCAGGGTCTGGTGCACACTGGGGGCACTCCCAGATGAACGTGTAAATGCCAGAGGATAGCACAGACCCTGTAAACACTGATGCCAGGGGCAGAACCCTGGCAGAAGAGAGATTGGAGGCCCCTGCTTTGGGTTGAATATATGAGGATGTACATATAGGCTACGTCTACACTGGCACCCTTTTCCGGAAATGCTTAAAATGGAACAGTTTTCCGTTATAAATATTTCCGGAAAAAGCATGTCTACATTGGCAGGATGCTTTTCCGGAAAAGCGTCCGTGCCAATGTAGACGCGCTTTTCTGCAAAAAAGCCCCGATCGTCATTTTCACGATCGGGGCTTTTTTGCGGAAAACACTACTGTGCTGTCTACACTGGCCCTTTTCTGGAACAGTTTTCCGGAAAAGGACTTTTGACCGAATGGGAGCAGCATAGTTTTTCCAGAAAAACACTGACAATTTTACAGTAGATCATCAGTGCTTTTCCAGAAATTCAAGGGGCCAGTGTAGACAGCTGGCAAGTTATTCCATTAAAGCGGCTGATTTTCCAGAATTAGTGGCCAGTGTAGACACAGCCATAGGGTTGCCAGATGGTTTAACAAAATATACCAAACACACACACACACCCCTCACCCCTCAAAAAAAAAAAACACCAGAAAAAAATTCTGTTGAAGGAAAAAGGGGGAAGGGAGACCAAAGTGGTTAAGCAAAAAAAAAGGGGGGAGGGGGGCCACTGTAGCTTTAAATGGCCCTGCCATGCTCCTCAGTCCCCTGCTCCCACCAGATGTGGGAGGGACAAATTGCCCCGCTAGGCTTCTGACTGAAGGAAACAGGAAATATGTCTGGTATTTTCTGTTTTTTTTACCGGACGGGATACCCAAATAATGGACAGTCTGGGCGAAAACCTGACACCTGGCAACCCTACGCACATAGATCCCTTGATCAGGAGCGGCCCGAAGCCGGCTGCAGCAGCTGACGCCCCAGGCGGGCAGCGCAATAAGCGCCCCCGCCTGCACGGCCATCCATGGCCTTGATGTCATTACGGGGCCTAGGCTCATTGGCCGCCCCTGTCCTTGATCCTGGGGGGGAAACAAGGAAGCCTGAACTAGGGGAAAGGAGAACACACAGAGCTGTGGGAATGGGGCTTCAAATGTGAGGAGGGGGCTTGGAACTTGGGAGACCTGGGGTCCCCTGCTGGAGGGAACTTGAGGAGCTGGTGAGGGATGGGGACACACACAGAACCCCTGCCATGGGGAGACCAATGAAGTGAAAATGGGGGGACACACAGAGCTCCTGGCTGGGGTGGGGGGAGACTGGGTGCACCAAGTGTGGGAGAGGGGTGGGCACAGAGCCCCAGCATAGGGGTATCCCAGCCTTTCTGTATCTTGTTTTTTAAACATTCCCCTGGGTGTAACCCCCCTCCCGAGTCTGCCAGACTTCCACAAGGATAGGCCCCTCAGTGACTGCTAGACTGGTTTTCGGGCTTCAGCACACGTCCCCCACCACAGCCGTAGCAGTGAGTCAGACACAGCCCCGAGGCCTGCAAGAGGCTTTTCCTTCCTAGGCAGCGTCTCGGAGCAAAGGCACCTTGCTTGGTCCTCAGGGAAGCTCCGCTTCGGTTCCAGCCCATGTTGGGCACGGAGGAGTCGAGTTCTCCTCGGAGATCTGCCTTCACTCTCTGTCCCTGGCTCCCTGCTCTGTTCATAGTGTTCCTGCTCCCGCCACCCTGCGTCTGCACCTGTCCCGCTTCTCTGGGCTCCCACCCTCTCTTATGAGCTATTCGTAATGTGTAGGGCAGGGGTGGACAATAATTTTTTGCTGGGGGCCACTTCAAAAAAAGTGCCCCAGGCCACCCTGGAAGAAGCGGGGCCTCAAACAGAAAGGGGTGGGGCCAGGATGCTTCAGGCTTCCCCACCCACAGACCACTCAGAACAGCTGGAACTTAACTTCATTCACAAATTGAATTCTTACGCAAATGGTATGAACTGGGATACCAGCTGGCTCACACACTATCTTTGTCATCCCCCCCTCCCCCCACTTCCCACTAATCACCCATGCTCCTGGCGGTAGGAAGAGGAGGGACAAAGGGGTGAGACTTCAAAGCGCCACGTGCTCCTGGCAAGGCAGAGGAAATCTCGTACGTTTCTTTCCGCCCCCAGGCCCTAATTAGCCCGGAGGCGAGGGAGCGGCAGGGCCTCGGGGGTCAGATCAACCTGCATAGCAGGGGCTAGTCGTGTCAGTGGCTGTGAGTGTCAAACACCCCATCCCTTCGTTCTGCACTCTCTGGATGGCAGGGCAACATGCACTAAGAAACAGACACTTGTGTGAATTTTCAACTTTGTTGGCAAACAAGAGGGCAGAGAAGCGCCGAGTGGGGGCGCACAGGGTTGTGAGGGATGGTTGGGGCTTCGTCCCATATTGCTCCGGAGTGGGGGTGGGCAGGGTCTGCAGGGTGAATTTCTCCAAATTCGTCACGTTCTCTATGCAGGGCTCAGCTCCCTCCCCATCCTGGTTGGCAGGTTGTCCTGCCAGCCCTCCCCACCAAGAGAGAGGCGAGGGGAGAGGCTGAAGGAAGAGTCTGATCGCGCTCTCGTTAGCACAGGAGACGCAAAGGCGGAATCCCAGAGAGCACCGAGCAGAGTCACGGAGCAGCCGTCTTCGCTTATTTTTATCCTGATCAGAAGAGAGGCGAGGGGAGAAGGTGAAGGCAGAGTCTGATCGTGCTATCGTTAGCACAGGAGACGCAAAGAGGGAATCCCAGAGAGCACCGAGCAGAGTCACGGAGCAGCCGTCTTCGCTTATTTTTATCCTGATCAGTCACTCCCAGCTAGTTTCTTGGCTGGCAGCCCAGTGAGCAGGGGGAACAGCCCAGCATGGCTGGGAACAGGAAGTC